ATATGGTTCTAGTTTTAATAATACTTTTTTCTCAATCGGTATTTTGTAGGATATTAATTATTCTATGCGATGATTTTTATAATGACTTGTATATGCATGGTTCTCTTTCTCTTTTCAGGTGACGGAAAATGGGGAATATCCGATAAATGTTTAAACCAGCAAAACTTCATGTGTCAGATATCAGACAGAAAAGTTGTTAATCCACCCACTGTGTTACCAGGTAACTATTAGAGCAGAAGTTACCGCAATTTATTCTACTCTCTTGGATTCGTACAGTTCACGCATTTCTCGAAAACACGTGTAATTAGAATACCGAGAAATCTTTCCAATTAACTTTAGCGGTCTAAGTGATCAGTATTTATGTAAAGTGTCTCTCTTCTCTAATTTGATTTGACTGTTTAGTTACATCAAAGGCATATATAGGTTATTTAAAACTATACGTGCTTTTTATCACACTGGATCTCTTGTGATGATATTATGAAAGTGAACAAACTGTTTTGTTGGTTGGCATTTTCATAAAACCTCCTACATAATGCTGATCAATATGTTTTATGAAACAATCTTCAAATCCTCAGTAATTTTTTCAAGTTGTCGTTCTTTTCTTTAAAGCAAATGGCTCATGTGACCCTGCCTGGGAGGCCTACTCGTTTTCATGCTACTTCTTTTCTCAAGATGACTCTAAAAGCTGGCTAGAAGCACAAAGGACGTGTGAAGATGAAAGAGCTTATTTAGTCAAAGTGGATGATGTCAGAGAGATGTCCTTTATTAGCGGTAACTCAGGTTTAATTCACTAAGAGACACAATAGAGTATTAACCCATTCGTTAAAATAAATTTGTATAATTCTGCCGAAAATAAGGAACACGGGCTGTATAACAAAAGTGAAGTAAGGATCAACTTTGACCAGTGTTTGCCTTACGTTTGGAAATTAAACAGGTATAAGAATGAAATAGGTCAATTTAACTCTGTCAGTATGTCAGTGAGACTGATTTGAATACTGGTTTTGCTTTCATATTAATGGAGTTTTCAGAAGAGACAGGTACTCTATGTTGAACACATTAATGCTAAATTAACTGAAATATACCAACATTCATCAGTTTAACTAATCATGTTCAATTTTCATTTTTGCATGTATGATCAGGCAAGCTAGTATCTAGCTCGTGGATTGGAGTCAATGACAGAGAGACTGAGGGACAGTGGGTGTGGCACGATAATACAGTAGTGAGTGACCTATTTTTATTGTTAATTGAACGATTATGTTTCCATATTTAACTAACCAAATACTTTCTTGTCTTTACTGAAGACGAATGCTAGATGTTTTAAATTCCTGTTGGGTTTGAACAGAATCTTTCTCGTGTTCTGATAAAATACGTTATTTGATAATCATGTCAGTTTTTTTTTTATAATGGAATGTCTATTTTGGTACTCCAATGGTTTTCCATATTTAGGCGCCTATAGATGTAAAAAACGGCCCAGTAAACTTCTATGAGATGCCATATTTTTCTAAATGAGTTTTTCTCCATGTGGCTAGTATGTTTCTATTGCAAGGCGACCTATACCAACTGGGCCCCTGACAAACCAGACAATGTTGACTCGGGCTCTGAAGCTCACTGTGGAACTGTTCTGTTTGGAAATGCCAAAGGACTGTGGGACGATGTCCGGTGTAATGAACATCGGGCGTACATTTGTGAAAAAATGATAGGTGAGAGTGCCAGCGGTAAACATACATGTATATAGCTGTATAGATCGATATAAGTACTATATTATTGGTTTCTTGCTTTTTTAAAATGGAACAGGTTACTTCTTATAGGTATGCGTGTCAACGACTAATAGCTTACTCTATACTGCTGTAAACTTATAATGAAAATGCCTTCATAAACCTTTGCTTTACGCTTTCCCTCATTTCACCCGGCAAACACATTGCATAGTTAAGTTTAGAGGGCGTGTTTCTTTTCCTTAATTAGACCTGTCAGAGAGGAGTGGTGTTTATTCTACATTTTCTCATTGATTTCATAAATTTGTTCTAATTATTGCGTTTTCCTCAATTTCATACTTAAATTCTTTATTTTCAATGATATTGCTGCCATTAAGCAAGCTCCAGGCTAATTGGCTACTGGACATATCTTAATAGACTTGTTTTGTTCTGAATGGTCGTGATAAGACATGCAATTGCCTTTGAGTTAGAACGTAAGTACATCAATTAACAAGCACTAGTTCGGTTCTCAGGCAATTGTGACGTATCTTGCAACAAGGCTGGAAGCATATTAATCGATAATCGCCTTTAACGCATGTTTTAAGTGTGTGTATTAATACACTGTCACTCGAGCGATTTATGCTGACGCTCGAGGTGTTCATGGCATATATCGCAAAAGGGTGACAGTGTATTATTTGACATACATACCGAGAAAAAAAACACCCCTTAAACCAAATAAAGTGACCCTATATCACGCTCTACAGATGCAGGAATAAACTCGTCCACGTACGCTGGTCACTTCGAGCTCCCGCCAAATTATAACGTAATGTCTGACCAATTTGGTCAATTTTTGCTAAATACTTGTTGTGGAACTTCAACTCGCTTGAACAGTATTCAATCAACCGTCGACACTGAACATGCGCATCTCAGCTGAGCCACACCTAGCTGGGACTGCTGCGGAAAGGTCCCAAGGCAAATCCTTTATTTTTTGTGATGTTTCTGATAAACAAGGAGCGTCAGACTGGAATATAGTAAAATTAACTTTTCACAGGTACAAAAGAGAGATAAATTTACTTTGTTGTGAAATTTCTGACAGCGAGGCGGTTCTCGAATATAGTCAAAGTCAAACGGATGTTTATTACAAGTCCACGGGAGTAACAATTCCACGTTTTAGTGATATTTTTAACTACGAATTTCGGAATACACCTATGCTCGTTTTCAGAGCATTCAGTAAGTATAAGTATACAAGCTTTGGGTTTTACGATGGGGTATAATTGGTACCTCATGTGTTTCTGCAGACTTGTAATAAATAAATTATCATGTACTTGATTTATTTCAGGCCCTGTTATTCCTTTTATATCTACAAGTAAAGAGCGTGAGTATCATTTCATTTTGACATGGATATTTTTGGGATTTGTAGACGTTTATGTATCTGATGTCTTTAAATACATTTGCTGTCTTTTTACCATATCCCGGAATTAACTTTCAATTCCTAAAGTACTGTACACACAATCTTTCATAATAACTATATATTTTTAATTTGACAATGAATTGAGGAAATAGTTTTTGACAGACTAAGTTTAATTTTAATTCCATTTGAAGTTAGATTAAATAAGCATTACAAATGAAAAGTTCATGCGGAAGAACACGAGTAGAATCATTACCAAAACATGATGCAGAACATTGCATTGAAACAAACTAATCTGAGACTGCCTCCTTACACTATCACAATTATGAAATAATGGTTCATAATTTTTCATTCAACCATACATCATTTTAAACAAAAGTATAATTATTATAGTGTATTTTTCATTTCAGAATTCTAGAATACCATCTTATCCTATTCGATTATTTATTGTAAATTTTAGCCTCCTTCACAGCAAAATGTGGTATGTTTTGGGAAGATGACTCATTCAGTGAGTACTGCTATCAGGTCAATGTGGGTACTTTGTCTTGGAATGAAGCTAGATTGCAATGTCAGCATAATGGTGGAGATCTTGCCAGCGTGACCAGTTTGCGTGAACAGCAATATATAGCAGGTGACTTTAATTCAGGGGTTTAAAAAGTGTAGAAACCGAATAATGTTTTCAAAAATTTTTATTTCTTACATGTACCCTTGTTTTTTCCTTGATTACCTAATTGGGGAAAACAGCAACACTTCCTACTACATGCACTTGGTAGGTCTAACCAGAGTATTTCATTTCTTTACTGACTTGATTTGTTAATTGTTTTTTCTATCAGGCAAGATTGGTGCCATCTCAGACATGCGTTATTACTGGCTTGGTGGTAATGATCTACGGTACCAAAATGTATGGATGTGGAATGATGGGGCAGCGTTTGCATATCTTAACTGGGCTACAGGTAGATTCTTAAATCCCATGTTTCGAACTCTATATTTGAGATGCATTGCATTTTTATGAGTTAGATGATATGAAACTAGTCGTCAGACTAATCAAGTACATATTTTACTGTATAACCTTGTATGCTGAATGACCTTGTTTTAATGTAGACCTGAGGCATTTGAAACTTATTCCCACGTGTTGGTTTGTGGACTTTGTTATTTACACACATTGCCAGAAACTGAAAGCATGTTGAAATATAATGGCTTTCTATTCCAACTTCAAGGTTCGATTCAAAGAAAAAGAAAAATGTAAGGACAGTTGATAAAGATGAAAACTTCGAGAACTTGCATCAAAATTTCAAGACCAAATAAATTCCTTTGTCATGGATTTTCTACGACCCGATTTTTTATTTACTTGCATATTGTTCTTATTAAGTATATGCGTATTTTAGGCCACCCTAACACAGAACAACGCAAAGACTGCATGGAGATAGACGCATTCAAAACTGAATGGAAAAGCGAGGACTGCCGACAACGGCGAGGGTACATCTGCAAAAAGAAAGGTACAACTTTAGATGTGTATGTAGAACTTATTCGGTGTTGTTCGGGTCCATATCATTAATATAAAAATTAAACTCCGGATAACACGATACAATAACAAGATGTCAATAATTTCGTCTTTGTCATTTAGAAGCACAATTAAGTACCAAAGACATATGTTGTGCCTGGAAAAGAATTATTATGCTCTAAGACTGCATGGATGTTCAAGGTATTGGGAAAGTTAAAGATATTTTTCTGATCAATATGATAACATTGTTTTGCAGAAGAACCGCTTTGGTTTACGTAAATTGAAAATATTGGTGTTATCATTTCCTTTTCACATTTACACTCCTGTTTCTAATAAGGACACGTCACCGTTACCACGTCCACTGTAACCACAGTTGATATAGGTATGTATCAAAATGCAATGTGGAATTTATATATAAATATAATAAACGTAACAATATTCGATGCACATCATAATGTTTTGTAGTGGGGTCAACTCATCACTTTGTTTATATTAATCATCATCATCATCATCATCATCATTATTATTATTATTATTGTTAATGTTGTTAATGTTGTTGCTATCAATGTTGGCGTTGGGGTGATATAACTTCTGGGAGCAATACGAACTGAAGCCTCATTTATACCAGCTGACCTGTATTTGAACAGGTGCGGACATCAGAATCTGTGCCACAGAGGCTGTTACAAACAAAAAAATAAAAAAATAAAAAAAGAAGCAAGGTAAGAGTTTATCTAACGTTGCTGTTATAATCTCATTACCGTTTTGATAGGGTATCCATACTGTACCGACGGTTGGAAGCATTACGACCAGAGCTGTTATAAAGTGGTGAAGGACAAGAAGCAATGGAGCCTTGCCATAAACGCATGTAGAAGAGAAGGCGGTGATCTGGTGTCTATTCTGAGTGCCAATGAAAACAACTTTGTCTCTAGCTTGACAGGGGAGATGGGTTGTAAGTATTAGCATGATGACGATGATATACCCCCCCTGTATATTCTTAATATTTGTTATTTGATACAGAAAAATAGCTTAATTTCAAATAAAATGCTTTTAATGCATATATGTACCCTTAAACGCTTATATATGTAGTTTCACTTCGAAAGCAACACTCTATTCACTTATCAATTTTAATTCAAAATATGAATGCGAAATTTTGAACGCACAACAGTATATGTGATGAATGATAGTCTTATATCGGAGCTTTAGGACTATAAAACAAATGATGAGCTTGCCAATTGTTCTGAATCGAACCATACTATCCTAGTTAAAACATCGCGTAGAACTTTTCTAAACCTTCTTCTAGATGATCCGAAAGAGATTTGGCTTGGGCTGAATTCCAAGAGAATGTTCAACCAGTATGAGTGGACAGATGACTCCGTGGTCACTTTTACAAGTTGGAAGGAGCGGGAGCCCAGTGGTCACCATGGAAACGGACAGTGCGTCAGCCTACTGACCACAGCAGAGGACGTAAGAGAGAGGCACAATTAGATAACGGCGAAGGCACATGTTTTAAGTTGAAACATCAGTTACTTTCTTTTCTTTCCACATATGTACCTGTAAAACTAGAAAGTTCATACGTGTACATATATATGTGATAACAGATAGTACAGTAGCATTCGTAGTTTTCCGCTTCCTTTCGAAGAGATTAAAGATGTTTTGATTTATTGTTTGTATAATTTTGCTCAGATTGGTAAATGGAAGAACAATGACTGTGATCAGTGGCTTCCCTTTATATGTAAGAAGATTGCTACACATATGGTGTCGCCACCTACCGTAATGTACGACGGATGCAATAAGGCAAAGTGGTCCTTTTTTATTTTCTTTATTTTTCTCGTTTGATGATGCATGTGTCATCTGTATTGTAACCAATATGCGAAACGCTTACATGAATGCCTTGTATTTAAGCCTGTTGAAAATAAATTGGATGTTCTGTTATGATGATAATGGTTTTAATTGAAATTGCCAAACCAGGGAATTGTTATTATATAATTAATTAACATTTTAAAGGATAAAGATCTGTCTTTTTCTTTGATTTTAAAAAAATCAGAAATCGACTCTTAACGTATTAACATTTCATACTTTATAGTGTGTAGAAAAGTTAAGTCACCACAATAAAAATATTATTACAGCATTTTTTGTACCAAAGTCACTAAACATGTTCATTTTTACTATTATTATCATTATTTTTTTGCCAGACTGCCGTTGGTTACAGAGGATCATGCTACACTGTGTCCAACACAATTGCTACATGGACAGAAGCTGGAAGGTTATGCAACGGCTCGGGTGGATATCTCTTAGCACTAAACAACCAGTAAGAATACTCTCTCTCTCTCTCTCTCTCTCTCTCTCTCTCTCAGATATGATATATCTTGATCACAAGTTTTAATCATCACATATAGAACTGAAAACCAGGCATAATAAATGAGCTATTAAACTGACCCTTTCCAGATTTTTACAAAGTAACCGTTAACCCAAACCAATAATACAAAGTAAAAAAGGGATTTTTCGTCACCAAATTTTAACTTGAAGTGAGGCAATGCATTTCCGAGACTTTAATACTAAAGTGGCTGTTTTCTTACTGTTTCGGCATTCATTACATGTTATAATCAGTCTGGAGCAAGCCTACATCTCAGGACTGATTGGCAATAAGGCAACTGATACAGAATACTGGATTGGTCTGAGTAAAGGCAGCGTGGAAAGTAGCTACAAATGGCTTACAAAGAATTCACAAAGTACATTTACAAACTGGAACAAGTTTCACACAGGTAATTGTAATTTCTGTGCATTTTACATTTTGAAAACCATTTTTTATTTTCTCCTTAAATCAAAGAAATGCAAAAAAAGTTCATAATGTTAGTGATATAGGGCCTACTGGTGTGTAGCATCTTCCTCAGTATATGATTTACTTCAAACATGCGTGCAGTGTCATCAACCCAGAATTCTTAAAAATTTTGGCTATTATGGAATTCGTGGAAAATGTAACTTTTAGGGAACGAAGAGTACGTTTGTGTGGCAGTTTCCAAGACACCAGATATCACAGGTGAATGGGTGGACAGGAAGTGCTCCCAACGAAAGTTATTCATCTGTGAATACCCCAGGGCTGGATATGTTGGCGACACTCCCACCACACCTTCTGTGTCTTATGAGTGCCCGGAAGGATGGGGCTGGAGAGAATTTGGCGATTTTTGTTATAAGGTATGTGAATCTAAATTGCAAATATGCATGTACATGCAGGTTACTCCCTGCAACAATGTATGATTGAATGTGTCATTTAACTGCATATTGATTAGTCAAGCCTCATATTGGATAAGCCAATTTGTTGAAGTGTGTATACCACTCGTATAATAGTCTGTTACAATCAGAGCGGAGGATTATCTAATCATACTTTAATACTTTCATTTCATTAGAGATATCACCACCGAGGAGGGTATAGTTGGTATGAAGGGCGCGACCACTGCAGAACGATAGGTGGCGATCTTGCAAGTTTTCATAGCGAGATTCACCTGTGGAACGCTTCCGATGTGTCCAAATATGCGTAAATATTTTGTTTAAACTATGCTATATTGATTTTAACTTTGGATTTCTGAAATTGCGTTTTTATAGATTTATGATGAATATTTGATTTATGATAAATATTTGATGCTATCAGCTATCACTGATCTTTATCTGATCTATACGTTTGCGTCTTAAATATTTCAGTTTTTTGTGCTGAGGATTTTTTCTCAGAATACCGGCCAAATCATGACAGATATAATGTTATTTATACTTCCGTTTCCTACATATATCTACTTTTTACGTACATAGTTTTACATTTAATCTTTTTAAACGCAGATCTTAATTACATCAGTCGAATTGTCTGAGCCCCAAAAATCATTTTTGTCCTAAGGAGCATTACAGTGATCAATCTGCATACGCCAATAAATTAATTTTCGCCACTGGTTTTATCACGCAGGCTTCGTTCACCCGACATTTTCTGGATTGGCCTGTCTAAACCAGACAAGAAGACCAGTCACATTTGGTCGGACGGGTCAGCGCTTGATTTCACGTACTGGAAAGACGGGGAACCGAATGACCACAATGGACAGGAAGACTGTGTTGAGATGAACCGCCATCTTGGAAGGTGGTCTGACGTCAATTGTTACGCCAGCAGGGGCGTGCTGTGTCAGTTACGGAAGGGTAGGAGTATATTTTCGTCATTATCAAGTTGTCTATTCTTCTGTATCACCTTGCACATTCAAGATTATGAAGGCTTAATGAAGGCAATGTCATTTTTAAATTAGAGTAATGAGATATGTGTACCACGCTGAGTGCAATACAATTTTTACGAATAAGAAAGTATGATCAGATAAATTAAAAACATTATAAATTAAAATTTGATGAACAGTATTGTTTCAGTTTTAAGGTCTACATTCGAGATGAAGCAGGTTTTGTTCAGATTGCTGCCAGTTGTTTTCTATGTCTGTTCAATTGTTTTTGTTTGTTACAGGCGATCCCCTCTTAACTACCGTCACAGCAACATCGCCAACACCAGGTATGATCATGGTTTTGAAATGAATACATGTGTATACAAAGGTAAAAGACAAACGCACAAAATTTTACGACAAAGTAGGTTCTTCCTTTACAAACTTTTTTTGGTGATTCCAAATATTAAATGTGAATTCACCCTGGTTTCGATTTACGTAATGGGAAAATTAGAAAACTGATATTTTATTAGTGACTTGTGATGTTTCCATTGTTTGAAATAGCTGGGCGAACTACTTTTATTTCCTGAAACCTTAAGGAAGGAGTCAGCATTCTCATAAAGTGAACGATGAAGGGAGAAGTATATTGCTTTAATTTTTAATGGCAAAAATCTATCTTTATGTAAAAACTATACAAATACATGTATATAATCGTATTTTAGCTTCTCAATGTGGTTCGGATTCAAAATGGTTTGCATACAAAGATTACTGTTACACTGTGAGTCAATCCTATGGAACGAATGAAGTAGTGTCATGGCAAGACGCAAGAGGGCAGTGCTTGCAGTCCGGCGGGGATCTAGCCAGTATACACGACAGTGATGAAAATGACTTTGTTCTTTATATCGCAGTAAGTTGAATTCAATTTTAATACAGAGCAAAATTGGTATTTCAGTGAATCCAAGTATACCCTTTAAAGATACAGTCTTCAAATAACAATGGTCAATGATTTATAGCAACATATAGTATATATCGTGAAAATTCCCTAACATAACATTGCCCTATAACTTTCAGTCTCATAAGAGTTTTGCTTCGAAATACTGGATTGGACTGAACGAGTTGGACTTAGAAAGTTACAAGTAAGTATCTATATCTGCTGTAGCGTAAATAGTTTGTCCAAACATTTTTCATGTATTGTTTTACACATTAGCGTCTTTCGAGATTTTACAGCTATATCAATTGTTCAGATGTGCTTCATTTGCTACAGGATTAACTGTTAACGACGCAAGTGACTTAAATTTATATATATTGCAAGCTTGGATTCCCTGTAACACACGTAAAACATTTCTACTAGTTTCTTATTCAACTCTTATAATGTCGACATGCCAAAAGATAAACGAAACTAATCACTCGATCAGCCATAAAAGAGCTTTGGACCGCACCTTCTTGAAACTTTTGGTCGTTAATGGATTTACTTATCCGTCCCTCTATTTTGTGAAAGTCCGCCTAACTGACATAGTGATTTACAGTATGGCTCGCCACTGCTGAGCATGCAATAGCACAATTATTCAATTGACTTGTCGGAATTAATCGACGGAGGATTTTTTTATAGCACAGAAACAAGCAGAACATATCCATTTAAATATCATGTTTGTGGTTTTGTGGCAAAAATGACTTCAAATACATCTTTAAAAGAATGTACAAATCTGCATTGTTTTCTATTCTCTTCTGTCCTTTTCTATTCTCTTCTCTTCTGTTATTTTCCATTGTATTCTATTCTATCACCGCAGATGGTCTGATGGCACGGCTACTGACTACACATCCTGGAGTCTTAACGAACCTAACGATCTCCATGGTGGCCAGAAGTGTGTTATATTCATAACCGAAACAGGTGATTGGTTTGCGGCATCTAAATTTTTGATGTCCAAATTTCTACACTTTATATCATTGCAGTTTTTTTAAGTTTACAATACTAAATGCTTAAAGTATATTGTATTCATTCTATAGCTATGATATGTGATGGAATCCAGTGTTAAGGCACTTCTGATTATTATATCTGATTGTATGTGTATCGATAAACTTGGTTATTGGTTCGTTCTAAGTATTAAGATAGAATGCATGTTCCATGATATTTTTAATTTCCTTTTTGTCACATTGTGTGTATATTTGAGAATGCCAAAGGAATATGCTGGCAGAGTGCAATACGAAAACTATTACATATGGAATGTTATATAAAACTACATAGCCTGAATGTACCCATTGTACATTTATATAAAAGTACTGTAAATACAGGGCATTGGAGTGACGAGAACTGTGGCGAAGCACTGAGCTACATATGTAAGAAACACAAAGACAGCAGTACAACGGCCACACCCACCCCAACACCAGTCATACATGGTCAATGCCCAGTTGGATTCCATGGGATCGGTAAGTGACCAGTATTTGGTTACGACACTGAAAGCAGATTTCATGAATTGTTATTCAAACATTAGTTTGAGACTTTGTTTTTTCTTTTGCTGTAATAAACCGATTAATAAATAAATTTGTATTAAACAACAATTTTAGGTTTAAAATTATTTATAAAGAATTACCCTAGATTCTACATATTCCAGGAAACAAGTGTTACTTGATCCAAGGAGATGGCACTGACGTCAGTACGTTAAAGAACTGGACGGAGGCGATAGATGCATGCGCAGCACTGAATAGTAAATACACACTGGCTAGCATTACAAACCCATTAGAGGAAGGTAATCTGTCGATTTTTTTTCTTTTTTGTAAACATTATTCGTACAAAATGTATTTTAGCGTAAAAATTTAATTAACAGTTCATTATAAATCTTGTTTAAATAATAATAATAAATGATTTTCAAAATCGGTATGAAATGGTTATGGCGTTGTTAATGAATCCATATGCTGCGTACAGTATTACATAACATTTTGCTATTCTTTATATATTTCTGTGTCAATTAACTGTTGTCTAGTTGAGTTTTATTGTAAAATGGATACATGCACACTCTCATCATCGGAATGCATTACACGGTCCATCCTTCAACTACGACTACAGTGACCTTCCTTCTTTAAAACATCTGTATTTCAGCACTAGTGACGACCCTTCTGAAAGGGAAAACAGTAGATTTTTGGCTTGGAATCAGCATGTTTTGGGTGGGCACGAGGCACAGGATGAGGAAATTTCAATGGACTGACAACACAAAAGTTGACTTCCTATACTGGGACCACGGAGAACCCAATGGCCAGTCATATGGAGCTGATATGGTATGTATGACATGTAACTGTTAAATACTATGTCAATCAACTTGATGATCGTATATGTTCAAGTATGTAAAAAAAACATCGTAATATTGACATTGCATAAAAAGCCTGTGGAGTGTTAATTTATTTCATGTCATTTTATTTCAGTTGTTTATTTTTGCCTTCAGTAGCATACAGTGGCAAAATTTATAGCTTATAGATATAAAATAAGTTATATATTTATATTTGTTGTTAGAAGCATGTTTTTCTTTTACTTATTATGATCGATTTTCAGGAAAATTGTGTCAGCATAAGCACTAAGACATTGTCGGTTGGGCATTGGCAAGATAGAAAGTGTGCGATTAGGATGGGATATGTGTGCCAAGCTTGGAAAGGTGCAAATTGTTATGTTATTTACAATATTTTAAATTTTACATTACATTCGCTTCACATGTGGAACTCAATTATATCATGCTGTATGATAGCCAAAAGGCAGTCTTTTAAACTGGTTAACAGTGAAATAATTTAAATTTATATACTGGGTATTATGGGTTAGAAATCTACAGACTACAAAATATATTATAATCCTTATTTGCTTCTTATATTAGTGGAATAAACAATGATGATAAAGACAAAAACATGTTTTCTCCTCTAAAAATATGTAACTACTATCTTGCGTATTGTAAGCATTAATTAATGCCTTGCAAATTAACATTGTTATTATTATCGTTGTTGTTGTTGTTTTCTTCTTTCTCTTGTTTATTTTTATCATTGTTGTTGTTGTTGTTGTTGTTCTATTTCTTCTTCCCCTTCTTGTTTATTTTTATATATGAATTTCTTACAAATATTAATAATATTTCTTGCAAATATTAAAAAGTAGTTTTATTTACAAGACCCTACCTTGACCACCCAAGCACCAACACAGGCCACTACATCTTGTCCCCTCGGTTACTTATCCTTTGGGGACGCCTGCTACCAAATGACGTCACCTATGACGTGGGAAGTAGCCAAAGTCACGTGTGAGAGACAACAAGATACGCTGGTGTCTATAATGGATGGATATGAACAGGCATTTCTCATGCTGGTAACGCAGCAGCCCCCACAGCCCATTTGGCTGGGTATTTATAGGAATGGGGTAATGAAAATTAGCTAACGTATATAAGTTGAGTCTTGAATGATTATATATTAAAGTGATTGCGTAACATGTCATGTTGGCCGAGTTTCAATCAAACATGGCTTCGGATGAAGAACAGAGAGAACTTTCTTGCAGTTAACAGTGGTTTTTGTATGTATTTATAATACAATTAACTGATGCCACGATAAAAACAATTGCCCCTTGCACCTACTGTACCCTAATCCCTCATACAGACAAGGGTCCAATACCGACTGTTCAAATAACCCCACATTTTCTTAATCCATCACCTTCTCTCCTGTTTTTTATTTCACAGTCCACATACCAATGGGTAGATGGCTGGCCAGCGGATTATCTCAATTGGGCATCAATAGCGCCCATAGGCATAGATCCATCAAAATGCATCGCTCTTATGCCAGGAGGCCGTTGGAATGATATGCCGTGTACAGCTAACCTGCCATCAGTATGCAAAAGAACATCGGGTACTAATGTTATTATTGCAAGTGCAATGTATATAATTGTTATAGTCCATTGCATGTGCAATATACATCATATCAATAATAATGATGATGCTTATTATCATAATAACAATAACAATAGGAGTAATAACAAAGTAGGAACCATACTCCGATATTCAAATTCTCTTTTAAATCAAACTAGTTGCTATTGTACTCAAATATTTTGATTACATTTAATCATTTATATCAGATATCTATAATAATTGACTTATACTGTCACACTGATATTACATGTATGTCATTATGATATTTTCGCAATATATTATATGCATTTTTAAAAGACGAAAGGTAAAATGTTAAAGACTTAATAATATGAGCATTATATATCCATTTGTTAATTTATATTTCAGCCTCACCTCCCACTATAATTCCTGAACCTGAGAACACAGGGCAGTGTCCGAGTGGCAACTCATGGCGTCCATACGGCCACCACTGCTATCAATTTAACCAACAATTCAAGAGGTGGGGCCAAGCGAACTTTCATTGTTATAAACAAGGCGGGACGCTAGCGTCTATAACAAGTCAGGGCATTATGAGATTCATTGTAAAGACTCTCCGAGAGATGAAATCTAGACAGAGTAGAAAGTATTATATTGGGTTGGTTAGGAAATTTGGAGGTAGGATATTGTTTAGTTACAGAGGCTGATTTCTTAAATTCCACACAATCGCCGCATTCAAAAGTGTAACATGTAAGGTGATGATAGAAGTACTGTACCTTGTCTTCCCAAAATTTCATTGGTCGGATTTATTATATATATTTCATATGAATGGCTAGTAATAAAAGTTAGCATAGTTATGTCTTCATATTCAGTTTCAAAATAGACAAATATTCAACTGATGTGAGCAAGTAGAAAATATTGTCATAGAACTTTTGCAATGCGCTTATTTTCAGGGTCATTTGGTTGGGAAGACGGTTCACTTGTCAATTATTTGAATTGGGAGGAAATGGAGCCTTCTAATAACACTGAGAAAAACTGTGCTACCATACACCCAGGAAATGGAGGGTGGCAGGCAGCTAATTGTTTATATTTCCATAACTTTATTTGTAAAATAGCAAAAAGTAAGTAGACATAGTCTAAAGTTTTTTGTTTTGTTTTTTTTTTCCAAGATGTTTTTGATAGAACCAATTTGTAAAAACTCTTTTATTTAGATGTTATATTTACTTATGTCTAAAGCTCTCTCTCTCTGTCTCCCTCTCCCCCCCTCTCTCTCTCTCTCTCTCTCACACACACACACACACACACACACACACACACACACGTCACACACATAGTTCTAGTTTGGCTATGTTTTGTATGTATATGTAGCACGTGTATACCTGTCGGTTTGTCCGTCTCCTCATCCTCCAGCTCGACGGGCCATTCCTTCACATGTGTGTGCACATTGCCAGTGTTTCAAAAAGGACAGGGACATTCCGCCTAAGGTGTACAGACATTGCTGTTTGTGATTGTGCTATTTTCATACGTTAAATCTGATCCATCACGTATGTGAAGACTTGCTTTGAAGGAATTAAATGCATTATCAGTTCCAGTGCCAACCACACCAGGTCCTGCGTGCAGAGAAGATTGGTTCCAAAGAGACAATATGTGCTACAAGGTAACGTTTGTCTTAAAAACAAAAGGGGCGTTTTACAATAAATAAATAAATAAATTAGTAAATAAATAAATGAATAAAAGTAAATTGCAAAATAAATCAACTTTGTATAATTTTGCAATGAACAAAATATATACCGTATAAACTTTGTTGAACTGCTTTTGACCATTTAAGGCGTTTTTTAAAACGGGCGTACACAAGAAGAAGTGGGAAAACGCCCGTCTCTTCTGTCAGTCAGAAGGGGGAAATCTGGCAAGTTTTCACAGCTCAGAGGAAATAGATTGGTTCATGAGTCGATTAAAAAGTACTAACAGGTATACTTAAAATGAGATATTTCTATTACATTTTGCAAAAAGATTTTTTTTAATGTTCAACATATTACCATATGACAAAGGTTATTTTGCCCTTTCATTTTGTGAATAGTTGTAGGTAATGTAACGGGTATTTAGAATAAATATATCCACAAACATCTTATAATATAAGAGTGAAATCTGTAACTTTAGTTTTTTTTCCTGATGTGCGCATTTTAAAATATCTCAAAGTTAACCTGGAGTCGTTTTTCTCTGTCCTAGATATTCACTGAACACGAGGTCACTTTGGATTGGATTGCATCTGGCAGCAAATGCAACAGGTGAGTTTGGAAGCAAATTGCCCTTATTTTCTTTAGGCACATTCCTTTTAACATAATTAGAAACCCCTGTCACCATCAGTGAACCAAATCATTTATAAATATAACCTGTATTTAGATATCAGTAAAACAGTACCGGTTGATGTTGTTATATATAAATATAACGCAATGTTAAATTCACAAATAATGCTGTTAACTTACTAGTCGCAATTAATGACAATGTTTAGATAATTAATAGTTCTTTGCATGGATTCCGGTATCTTGGTTGTTGTGATTTTATCGTATAGATGGCGCCAACCATACCTGGTCTGACGGCACAGCAAACACGTACGCCCCCTGGGGACTAGGCGAACCTGACAACCACAACGGCAGAGAAATATGTGTTAGCCTCTTCAAGACGAAGGGGACTTTCAGAGATGATAACTGTGCAGCTGCCAAAGGCTGGATATGTAAAACATCGGTTACTGCAACTCCTATGCCAAGCACAATAACGACGCCAATTCAAGGTAAATTGAAAAAAAGGCAAAAACGTCAAAAGTTTCTAGGTTTTGCTAACCGATATCGGTGCAGTGTGTTTGTATCATTCACCTAGAAGATTAGCCGGCGGTATATTTAACTGAAATGTGATGTTGCACCCTGTAGTGTTGCGATGATGATTACTAAAGAGAGCGATTTTTGTGTGTGGCTCTCTTTTGTCAACCATGAAACTTGGTGCATATTGGCCTAACGAAGCTTTATTGTCTCATTTAAGTAGCTAAATTCCATGTTGTAAATACTATGTTCATGTTTCCATATGTGTCTTTATTTTTTCATAATTTTAGTATGGGTATTTGTGTTACAATAGTATTAGTACAAAGAACGGAGTGTTTATTTACGCAGTTATGTTTCAATCCAGGCGTGGGTAATTGTGGTGAAAACTGGAACTCTTTCGGCGAACACTGTTACTATGTTAGTGAGGATAGCAGTTGGACATTAACACCTAAAAAGTCTTGGTTCAAGGCACGCCAGTGGTGCCTGGAGAACGCTGGCGATCTTCTTAGTATACAGACTACCGGTGAGGAGGATTTTGTAACAACATTGGTCAGCAAGACACAATACACCAAGTTTTGGATCGGTGCAAACTCGTTTGACCTTCAGGGATACAGGCAAGTTTAATTGTGATACGACAGTTCATTAAATGCCAGTTTCATATATGTAAATGACTGATATATCCTAGAGTCTATGATATTTCTGTAGTTTTGAGCAACCACCATTCCATTGGTGTAGATACTGTTCCTGGTATTTTGAATTGATTCAATATGGCAGAACCCAATGTATTTTGCATGGTTTTAATGCTTTTCTATATTTTAGATAATATTTCTAAACAAAATTCATTTTTATGAAGAAAGGAAGAAAAAATTCAAGACTTAAAGCATTGAGTAAACGCACAATATATATATATATATATATATATATATATATATATATATATATATATATATATAATATCATATCTCATATCTTTATAGAAAATAAGAAACTTATATTTCAAACCATCAAGGTCCACACAAATGTGCAAACTCCCAACTGTAAAGTTTCTGTAAAATATCTTTGACAGATGGGCCGACGGCTCTCCAATGATCTACATTAACTGGGCCAAAGGAGAGCCAAACTCTGTTCACGGGAGCGAGAGATGTGTGAATATCCACTCAGGGAAGAATAACGTCGTTCCCGGTACGAATACCAAGGCAGTGAATTGTTTTGCTAGTCAAATGGGTGTTGCATCGCGAAGACTTAATCAAATATTTTTCTGTGAATCACTATTGATTTTATGCAATTTCGAAAATTCTTTTAAAAACCACATGGTTACATTGGGTATCATTCGTCTCTTTTTCTTTTCACAAATCATATATATTCTGTTCTCCAGGGACCTTCAATGACGACAACTGTGCCGATGAAATGCCATTCATATGTAAGAAACACCAGTCAAGTAAGACAACTGGAACAATGGCAACGACACCTTCCATAAGCGGTTATTGTCCCAGAGGATTTCACGGCGTTGGTAGGTATAATATGTTCTCGCATCATAGTAAAACAATACTTTTTATGTTATGTTTTCTCTCCCCAGAAGAACAATTTGCCACAAAATGTGAAACACTGGAAGCCAATGGTTAATCTTCTATTAATCCCTAATCTGGTAAGCCTATGCATCAAAGTAGATCACACAACTTTTTTATAGTTCAGGGTTAAAAAATCATTCTTGTTCTTAGTCCTCTTCGCAGTTACCGGTCTGTTTGGAAACGACCGCGGGCAGCACCGTCGCACATGTCACACACGTAAATGTGCCAAACATGCAGTTTAGGTTAATTATCTGAATATCATTTGTCATGTTGCACCAAAATTTACAATTGAATTTGTTCATTTATAGCATGTTGTACTCATTAAATAGGTAACAGGTGTTACAAGTTTTTCGGAAAGGTGGATTCAGAGAGGAAGACATGGGAGGATGCGGCAGCTGAGTGTTCGACTTTGGGGAAAGAATTTAGTTTGGCATCCATTACAAACCCACTGGAACAAGGTAAGAGATAGGCCAGGGTGACCCAACGTTGTTGTTCTTGAATAGATCATAAATAGCTTATTCTGACACGCACGCAAAAATACGAGATTTTGCTTGTGTGT